AAAGACTTAACTATATTATTAACTTAATTGCTAACCCTAACGCTTACTCTAACTATACTGCTAAATTTAACTCATTAGTAACTATACCACTAACCCATTAACCTTGCTAACACAAACTCTTACCTACCAAACTTACTTTACTCGTTGTTAAATATACTACTAACCCTAGCCAAATCTTTATTTTAATTTTTAATGTTTAACTCTATTTTTAAATTACAGTAATATGATTCAGGCACCAACAACAAAACAATGAACTGACAAAACGATAAAAGGACGAAAGGACGAAACAGCGAAAGGACGAAACAGTGAAAGGACGAAACGGCGAATGGACGAAACGACAGCACTATAAAAAAAAAAAACAAAACACTACAAATGAAATGGCAGTATAAAAAAAACAAAAACGTAATGAAATTACAATAGAAACCAAGAATAAAGCCGAAGATGATACTAATGGTGAAAAAAGGTAACAACACCAACAACGAATGGCGATGTTAAAAAAAAAGGTTGGTTTAAAAAAAAAGATCTGTATATTTATTTTTGTTATGTTGATTCATGTAACAGAAAAGAGCCGACATGGTTACATGATTCCAAGATAAGATTGGAGATTAATTGATCACGTGACCTGGAAAATCTCACCTACATCCTGGATCTGTTTTTTATGACTTTCAATTGTTGGTTCCAGATAACATTAAAGTAGAAATTCAATGATTGATCACATATATATTACTCGAAAAAATTATAAGAATTACATTTAGACAAGACATAACAAACAATACCATGATTAACTTTTTACGAATCATACTGAATCATGGACTATACCTAAAAACATTATTAATCTAGAACAAGCTGAGGCATCAAAATTTCAGTATATTATTGGATGGACAATTTTCAAACTAACAAAAAGCAATACATTAACATTAGCATATGAAAAATTTGCAAAAATCAAATTGTGTTTAAATGCTCTTAGTTCTGAACAAGTAGAGTATATATATGACACTCGTTCAAAGACAACTATAGTTATTCCAGGAGCTGATTTTATTCAATTCATATATTATTTAGAGTCACTCATTCATCAGTTGTTTGAAAAACATATAGAGTATGGGCCAGATATTCTAATTTATATCAATAATAATCTTGTAAACAATTTACCTTTAAAGAAACAGTTTAGTGATCTTTTACACGTAGCATATGAGTTTTATTATAATGATAACAGTATTCAACTATCAAAAGAAGCTGAAGACTATCTATTAGTATGTTTGATTAAAATTTACATGCGAAGTAGACAACGGTCTTGGCAACGATTTAAAGAATACATTCCAGAAAAAGATTCATCTAGTTTATGAGAGAATGTCAAGGCAATGAATGCAGATTTAAAAAATAATACAAAGCAAAATGTTAAGCCAAAAATGAAACTTGTTACATTTAAAAAAGAAATGCTACCAGACAATCTTGATTTAGCACTTGGTCAACTTAAGATTTGGGCTCAAAATAATGTAGCTAAAAGTGTATTTGAGAAGACATTCACAATATCTAATCTAAAGATTCTAATTCAAGCATTTCAAGATAAACCAGTAAAGATAAAAGAAAAAAAGAAGTCAGCTCTCATAGATCTGCTTTTTAACTATCTAAATAATGCTCAGAGTTCAATGAAGAAACAAAGAAGAAAGGTTAACTTTTTACTTGAAATAATTAAGTATTACTCATAATTAGTATGTAAACTCTATATATTATTTAAATATATAATCTTCGTTATATAAATGACTTTCTGATTACCCAGGGCAGCTCCGAAATTCAAGTGCCTACTGCTATAGCATTTAGTAATCCACTTCAAGTTGAAGTCATTGTTAAATATTGTGGCTATGTATACATCTGGGGCTATATACCGAAGGTCATTTTCATGGCAAAGACCCATATATACGTTTAGTTTGTTATATAATAATAAATTAATTTTAATTAATTTACAATTAGAAAAGATGACAATTCAAATGAACAACATAATCTTGAGTACTCGGTATTTGAAATCTACTAAATGTGGCTATTTAGATAAATATTTTGAAATTATGACAAATATATAGAATGAAAGAAGAGCATTTAAGTGGTAATTGAAGACAACAGCATATGAATAATATAGTCTTGAAAAGATATAGCTAAGGATGAATAGTGTTTGGAATCTGAAAATAGTTATTCGGATAAACAAGATAATCTTGAAGTCTACTATAGTAAAGGTAAAGTAAAAAAAAGCATTTAAGTGATATTTTAAATCTGTTAATAATAAGTTTTTAGTCAATGTAATTTGAAATTTATTACAATGATATATAAAAGGCGATTAGTTAGTTTTGTGGGATTTTGATTGACAAAATATTATTATACTATTAAAATAGTATTAGAAATATTACTTACTGGTAGTTATTAAATGCTATTAAAAAAGTTTTGAATACAAAAAGTGAAAAGCAATTTGTCGTAAAATAAGAAAGTACAGTCAAGCCTCTTTATAATCACACACTTGGAATACAAAACAGTGTGATTGTAAAGAAGTGTAACAATTATAGAGGTCAAATTTATTATATTTAATAATAAATTGTTTTTAAAAAAATGGAATTATAAAGAAAATGTGCTTATATAGGAGGTGACTATAGGGAGGTTTGACTGTATATCAAATAGTAATTTTAGGATTTTATTTAACTTTTTTTTAAGATATTAATTTGAAGCAAAGAAAATTAATATACAGCAATTGAAAAAAAAAATCAAAATTCGAATATATGAATTATAAATTATTTTAATTTACTTTAATAAATAAGGAAATTTAACTCAAAACTTATTTGTAAAACTTAGCGTATTTCTTTATTTATAATTTTATTAAGACTCAAGCTATAAAGTCAATTGTTATAAATTAATCTACTCGATTTCAAAACTTAGTGTGCGTATTCATCTCGATTTTTTATTTAAATTTTTTTTTTTATAATATAAATTACAATAAAATTTGTTTTATAGTCTATACAACCGACCCACTTATAAAACTATGAATTATTTTGTGTACGTATATGCTCAATTAATTCTGCTCGCTATATTTATATAAAAACTGATATATTAAAATTTCAAATTTTTTTTTTTATAACTTCAAATTAATTATCATATATGTTACCTTAATATCATGCACATATTGGAGCATCTCTTTAACTAATTTACAAAGTATAGTTTGGTAAGTATTAAAGTAAATTTATATATAGAGTTAGTAATAAGATTGTATTTAACAATTTTAATTATTTTTAAAAAAGTAAATTTTGTCTTTGCGAATACAAATATATACACAATCTCTATATAAACCTACCAACTAGTGTCAATAGAGTATGGCAATAACATATATCAAATCAGTGTTTGGTTATTACTGCTAAAAGACTCGTCAGTATAGTATCGCAAATTTTTTTATTATAAAACTATTTGATTGTTACACAAAATTATGCAAGTCATTTTATTAGCTATCTATATATATTAAGTTGCCTCCATAATTTTACTAACCCCTAGATAATACTATAGCATTATAATAATTATAATAATATAGCTATATAGTGCAATCATGCCAAACAAGGAATAGATAAATATTAGGCACTAAAAACCAGAAACTTAATTGGTGATCTTTATATACATTATTGTAATTATTATAACTTTAGGCACTGGACTTGAGTTTTAAAAAGTTAAAAATTATTAACTATTAATAATTTATAATTACTATGTGATTATATTAAATAATTATTATTATTAATTCAAGAGGTCTCATCACTAGGCATGAATACAAATATTTATAACAATAAGTAGTTATATTTTAATTAACTATATTCTATTACTAAAATTTCTTAAACCTTCTATTACTTATTTTAATACCATTTTTGCCAAGATAATTTTGTGAATAATTTAAGTATTTACTATAGTGAGTATAATTATATAACCAATATATATATTTTAATTAACTATATTCTACTACTAAAATTTCTTAAACCTCCTACTATTTATTTTAATGCTATTTTTGCCAAGATAATTTTGTGAATAATTTGAGTATTTACTATAGTAAGTATAATTATATAACCAATATATATATTTTAAATATAAGATATTTGAATTTGTAGGTATTTCATTATATTTACATTATATTTTAATTTCGCATTAATCAAGTTTAAGTAGGTATATTAGATATTATTTAAGTAACTTCAAGAAAAAATGAATCTTCAATTATATAAATCCTGAATGGTTGAAGTCACATTTCTCTTGGTATTACTATTTATTATTGTATTAATTAATATACTTTAAAAAAGTACAGAGCAATATAAGAATGCTTATAGTCAATTATTTAAAGCAAAGATGTTTGCAAATCTATGTTAGAACTTTCAAAATTAACATATTTTAGAGAAATAAAAATTAAATTTAGAATTATGAATATCAAATTAAACAGTGCATTTGGCGATTCATATTTATATACAGTCATCCTTCTATACAATCACACAATTGGGCATATAGTAACTTTTTTTAAAAATGTGCTTATAGAGAGGTTGTGCTTATATAGAATTTTTTTTTATAAATTAAATTATAGTTTGGCCTAAATAAAAATATGATTATATATGATGTGATTATATAGGAGGCAGGGTTGAGCAGCCCTCTATATCCAGTAAATTTCACTGGACACTGGACATATAAATTTGTCTAGTATCTATTGATTTATTGACATATATAGAATAAAAGTTAGTGGTATATTATTGTTCTAATTATCTAGTTTGCTTGACTCTGAATAGAGGTTTCTTATTTCTAAAAAAAATTACAAACAATTTTAGAAATTTAAATTTTATTGAACAACTCACTTGTCCAATTGCCCAACCCTAATAGGAGGTGACTATATGGAGAGACGACTGTAGTTTAAAATGTAATTAACAATAAATATAATTATTATTTGAACCCTTATGTATTATACTGCAACTTAATTTCATGCTAATTTAATCAAGTGAACTTGATATTATTTATTAAACCTAAAATATAACAATTCCTTTACTATTACCAATTTAATCATGAATAAAATAACTACATTGTAAATCTATAGTTTGGACATTTATGTCAATTGTTAATTGCTTTCACAATAATAAGAATATAGAGCAAATTAGGATAATTTGGGAATTTAAAACATCCAAAAACAAATCTTTTTATTTTAAAGTAATCCAAAAACAAACTTTATTCCAACTATAGAAAATAACTTTGACCAAGCAGTAAAAAAAAAAATAAGATCTTTTACTATGAACTTTGATAATTATTGATTATCTATCTATTCACAAAACCAGTAAATTTACTATGCGTTATCTTAAATCTAAAGATTGCTTTTAAACAATAAATACTAGAAGAATGTTATTCTATATTATTTATATTATTGCAGCATTACAGTTTTAATACATTACTTCAATAGCATTATAATATTTAAATACAACAGCATTATAGTATTTTAATATTACATTATTATGACATTGTGGCATTAGACACAATGTAATTATGGCAAATAATATAGTACACCAAATTAATTCTACTGACACTACTACTCATAACCATGTATACAAATAGTGTGAGCATGGTATAAGGACCCTGAAATATATATGGAGAGGTAAGGTTTTGCAAAAATTACTAAATTTAAAAAGATCTGCAGAAAAAAGTTAAAAATAAGCAAACTAATTACTATAAATAAAAATAATCTGCACAAAAAGAATCAAAAATAAGCAAACTAAAACCTAACCTATCTATGTATATTTTAGAGTCCTATGGCAGTTAGGGAATATACCAAATTAGGATATTGATTTCTAGAATAGTCCATGTGCTGATCCTTGAATTTGATTGGCTCTTGAGCACATTTTTGATAATATTCTTTGGAAATTTTTTTGTACCTCCCAATTTAATATTAGAAACTCAAATGAATGAATAAGTAAATAGTCTAAGACATTTAGTTTAATAATCCACAAATAATCTACACCGATCAACCTTTGTTAAAAAATAAATGAGACTTGAAAGTTCAAGACTTGTCTCGTATAAGCTAAAATATAAGAAGGTAATTTTGTCAGCAAAGTTTATATTTCTGAAATCTATCTTTGCAAAAATATTTTTATAGTAATTATTAGCTTGCTAATCTAATAATCTGTTACTGCAAACTTTTACTACCTAAGTAAGTAGGGCTTGAAAACTAAGCTTATTGATATAGAAATATTAGACTAGAAGGTTGGTTTTTTTTCTTTAACTTATAGTTGGCTGGTAAATCTATGTTAGAACTTGTTTGCTTATACTGATAGATCTATGCTATAGTATAGTATTATTTTATTTTAATTATAATTATAATTATTTAGGCATTCTCTTATTGTGATTAACTAGTGATTAAGATATTTGAATGGTTAACATGGTTAATCAAAGAATAACGTGTATGAAATATTAATTCTAAATTTTAGTGTGTTAAGTGCTTAAAAATACTTAGTCACAGTTAGATATGCACGTGAATCATCTCAATGATGCTATAACTTTTCATAGCGTGCTATAACTATATTAAGCAATTATAAAAAGTTATGGCATGTTTGCCGTAACTTTTTATATTGTTTAATATAGTTATGGCATGTTTGCTATAACTTTTTATATTGTTTAATATAGTTATGCCATGCTACGAAAAAGTTATAGCATTATTGGGACAATTTACCTA